AATTGCTGACATTCAATAGGCTTGTTCGTCTTCATTTCACTAATTTAGGTGATAACTGAAGCTCAATAGGCTTGTTCGTTTTACTAATTTTAATGATACATATAAATTTCATACAGATTAGGTGATAACTTTTGTCGTTCAAGCGTTCACAAGATTCAACAAAGTTAAAGAAGGGCCATAACTCTAGATGTAATTAACAGAAATTTGCTGAAACTCAATAGGCTTGTTCGTTTTACTAATATAAATTTCATACAGATCGGATAATAACTTTTGTTGTTAGAGCATTTACAAGGTACAACAGCATGAAACAAGTGCCATAACTCACAGCGTAATTAACGGAAATTGCTGAAATTCAATAGGATTCTTCGTTTCACTAATTTAAATGATAATAATAATAATATGTACATTTATAAAGCGCTAGTACTCCATGCACAGAGGCATGCTCACAGCGCATACAGTTAATTAATTTGATTAATCATGATAACATTTCTCAAAAAGATGAGTTTTAAGTCTTGATTTAAAACAAGAGAGAGTTGGAGATGCTTTAATGATTTCTGGTAGATTGTTCCACTCTTTAGGTGCATTAACTGCGAACGATCTGTATCCAAATGATTTTAGCTTCCACCTTGGGCAACACAACTGATGAAGTCTGTTTGATCGGAGATTACGTGAGGGAACATGTATTTGCATAAGGTTTGATAAGTATTTTGAAGCTAAGCCATTTACACACTGATAAGTTAAGGACAGGATTTTGAAGATGATTCTTTCGTTTATTGGCAGCCATTGGAGTTATTTCAGAACAGGAGTTATATGAGAGTATTTCGATGATCTGGTAACAATTTGAGCTGCAGTATTTTGTACAAGTTGAAGTTTTTTAATATTGGCACTAGATGTTTCTGCTAACAAGCTGTTACAGTAGTCAATCCTTGAGAATACCAGAGAACACACAAGTGTGGCAGCTGCTTCCTGGCTAATCAAGTGTCTTGTATGGCCAATGTTTCTGAATTTGCGCGAATTTGACTGTCCATGCTTAGATTAGGCTCTAAGAGGACACCTAAGTTCTTCACAGTGTCTGATGGTGCAATTATTGCATCTCCTACAAGCACACCATTTGAACCTGGATTTTTCAGACGAGTATTTGGACCAAAGAAGATACATTCTGTTTTAGTGTCATTCAATTTCAACATGTTTCTTGTCATCCAGTCTTTAATGTCACGTGTACACAATTTGATGTCAGAAAATTTTGGGATGGAACAGTTTTTGAAATGGAGTAATTTGCAGTCAGCTGTGTATCATCTGCATAAGAATGTCGTCCTAGACCATGTTTATCGATTAGTTGTCCTAAATTCTTAGTATACATCACAAAAAGGACAGGTCCTAGGACTGATCCTTGTGGAACTCCACAGTTTAACAGAATCTTGTCTGATTTCACTTTATCTACTAGAACAGATTGGCGTCTATTAGTAAGGTATGAATCAAACCAATTTAATATGACACCATCTAGACCAGTCTTGTTTAAGACACACAAGCAGCCTGTCATGATTGATTGTGTCAAAAGCTGCGGATAAGTCCAAGAGGACCAATAGGTAGATATGCGGATTGGAATTCATCCATAAGATCATGATGAATCAGATGGTCCATAAGTTGAGATTTGACAGCCTTCTCTAGCATCTTAGAAAGAAAAGATAAATTGGAGACAGGGCGGTAGTTTGATAGGGAGGAAACTTCAAGATGAGGTTTCTTTAACAGGGGCTTAACCACTGCTTCTTTGAGACTTTGGGGAACAACGCCACATTCTAAGCTTTTATTAATGATACACGTAATGACTGGGAGAAGCACACTCACATAATCCAAGAGGAATTTAGTTGGAACAGGGTCTAACTCACAACTTGTAGGCTTAGAATCTTTTATTATTTTCAATACTTGATCTTCGGTATAAGGTTTGAAGAAACAAAGAGACGGTGGAGACAGCCTGGATGTGTGTTGTGATGTATATGTAGTGTCATTCCTTACCGATTTAATCAAGTCATCTCAGATTTTATCAATCTTCCCTTTGAAAAAACGTGAAAGTCATTGCCAGGGTGGTATAATCCTGTGCTGCTGGAAGTGGGGACGATATTTTTAGTCCTAATAAATCAAACAGATGAGTGAATAAAGCCTTAGAATTTCTAGAATTGGTTAAGATTTGGTTATTGTAATAACGAGTTTTCACATGTCGGAGTTTATTGTTCACATCTGATCTGGCTCGACAGAAAATTTGTCTGTGTACTTCAAGTCTTGTCTTCCGCCATCTTCTCTCAGCTACCCGTCGCTTACATTTCAATACAGCAATTTCATCAGTGTACCACGGTGCATGGGATTTGACACGAACAATTTTGGATTTACATGTAGCGTGTTTGTCCAAAAGGGGGGTAAGGGTTGAATTGTACAGGTCAACGAGTTCGTCAACCTTCTCGGGTGTATTTATAAAGAGGCCTGAATCTAACAAATCCTTTTCAAAATCTGTCTTTGAGATACACTTAATGTTTCTGCAATCTATCACCTGCTTTGGGTTTGGTGGTTTAGAACAGTTCAAAGATATTTTGATCATAAAATGATCAGACATTTGATGATCTTTAACAGAGACTGACTGAACTACTGAATCAGATTGTCGAGAAACAACCCAGTCAATGATGTGTCCATTTTTATGAGTGGCTGTGTTTACGTGCTGGATAAGCTTATGAGTATTTAAAAGACTAAGAATCTTTTTGACATATGGTTGATGCTGTTCATCATAGTGGGTATTCAAATCACCCAGAAGGAGCAGTTTCCCCTTTTTGACACTTAAGGAACCTAGAAATGTAGATAAATTGTCATGGAATTGACCACATGTCAGTTTGTTTGTTCTTGATGGAGGGGGCCTATAGATACAAACAGCACAGGTGGATGTTTTGCAATGCTTGATTAATGTCTCAATATATTCAAATGAGGAGTACTTAACATGTTTCGGGGGGTTTAGAATCTCAACATTCAGCTGGTATTTATAGATAACGGCGACTCCACCACCTACTGATGTATTCCTGGGAACATGCTTGAACGTATAGCCTGGTGGGGTAAATTCAGCTATTTTAGCCTCATCGCCGTTTGACCTTAACCAAGTCTCTTTTAGATACAGAATATCAATTTGATTTTCAATGATCAAGTCGAAAATTTCAAGAGTCTTGTTACGGTAGGAACGTGAGTTCCAGAGAAATAGATTCAGTTGAGATACCCTGATCATAGTTCACCTTGCGCTTTCCTCCCCGACTTCTTCGACGACTGCGAGATATTCCAAGATGTTTCAGAAAGTTAACCTCTAAATTTTCACAAATTTTTTCATCAAAGTTTTTAATTGAGAAAAGTTTTTCCCTTGAATAAGTGTACATCACTGTGTTTAAATGAGTAGAAACCGGGTTTAACAAACTGTTGAATAAAGAAAGTTCAATGAGACAGCTCGCAAACACTAACACTGAGAAGTAGTAAAGGTGGATTTGTACGTTTACAGTATAGTTTTCTCGCTTTTTAGTAAATTTCTATGAATATCGGTAAAATTCTAATTATCGCAACAAATCTAATACGAAGAGGCTAAAATCTGTAGGTACAGTGTGTTAATTAACAGGGGTGAGAAATTGACTGAGTGGTGATATAATTATCGCTAGGGGTGAAAATCTCGGCGACGGTGCGTTTTCTGTACCGGTGTGTTAATTAACGAACGGGTTAAAAACGACTGACACGGTGTGTATTCTTTGTTTGGTGAGTTTTCTCGAAAGCGTGTTATAACTGCAACAAAGGTGTTATATCAAGGACCAACAGGCTTTATCTGACGCGTCGGTGTTAAATCCAATTTACCGTGCAGTAATTATCGAAATTCGCTGAAAATCAATAGGATTCTTCGTCTCATGACCTTAAACACTGTGTATAAATTTAAAGTCAATCAGATATTAACTTTAGCCTCTAGAGCGTCCACAAGATTTTTCAAAGTGATCAAGGGCCATAACTCTGAAAGTACTTATCAGAAATCGCCGAAAATCAATAGGCTTCTTCGTCTCATGACATTAACCACTGTGTATAAATTTAAAGTCAATCGGATCTTAACTTTAGCCTCTAGAGTGTCCACAAGATTTTTCAAAGGTATCAAGGGCCATAACTCTGGCAGTAATTATCGGAAATCGCTAAAAATCAATAGGCTTCTTCGTCTCATGACATTAAACACTGTGTATAAATTTAAAGTCAATCGGATATTAACTTTGACATCTAGAGCGTCCACAAGATTTTTGAAGTGATGAAGGGCCATAACTCTGGCAGTAATTATCGGAAATCGCTGAAAATCAAAAGGCTTCTTCGTGTCATGACCTTAAACACTATGTATAAATTTAAAGTCAATCAGATATTAACTTTAGCCTCTAGAGCATTCACAAGCAATTTTGGATGTCGGACCAACCAACGACGGACAGGCGGGGGCGACAACAATATACGACAACATTTCAATGTGGGCGTATAAAAAGTATTACATATTTGGTTCTAGTTTTGTCATTAATAAATATACTTGTTATTGTGATTAGCTGTTTTAGTGATCAATAGGGACACGATCAACGGATCTAAGTTGATTGGCTTGAAATTGATAGTTCTATCGTTCGTGAATTGTTGCTGTTGGTTTTTTTTTTAGTGATTAGTCGTGACACTTTTTGATGTTTTAATGATTACCTATTTTGTAGATTGAATGTTGGCCTTTATATGATTTATAGTTATATATAACTCTATGATCAGGTATATATTGCCATTCTGGCAGGTCTGTCAGCGTGTGATCCAGATGATATAAATTTTACCTGCGTGTTATATAGGGGAATATCAATTTTTCCAGAATTCCTGATTCGAGAGGGAGTGTTTTATTTATGATGGCATATTATACATAGGTGTATCTGTAAATCATTATGTCAATGAAAAACATATTTTTATTTTTCAAATCAATTAGATATATTTACCTGGTGGAGAAATTAGGCCATTGAATTAAAGGAAACATGGCAGCTAATTTATCTCTGAATTCAACAAACTCAGCAAACATACGGAATATATAGGAAGGAACCTGCTGTTTTTCTCTCTCTATTTGAAATATATAGATCTGCAAACACAAAAAAATATTCACAATATTACAGATATAGAGAAACCTACCATAAATCAGAAACACAAGAAAGTGGCATTTACAGAAAATGTCACACAATAACAGTAGGCCCTATTTTGTGCTTTGGTTCATAATTTAGTCATTTACTGATCAATTTCTCTGGGTATACCCTACATACACACATTAAAGATACATTTTGGGAGATTCGATAACGAGTTGGCAGTTCTCACTATAATAGTTAAAGATAGGTTGCCAGGCAACAAAACATACGCCAACAGCAGCTAAATCGTCCGAGCAGTCGACAAGGGTTGTCACATATTTATTCTTTTGTAGGTAATTAGGGGCATTTAATATACAATTTCATACAAATGACATTATAATTTTCGTCGTTTGAGGGTTCACAAGGTTCTAAAATGATGCATCTGAATTTCATACAGATTAGGTGATAACTTTTGTCGTTCAAGCGTTCACAAGATTCAACAAAGTTAAAGAAGGGCCATAACTCTAGATGTAATTAACAGAAATTTGCTGAAACTCAATAGGCTTGTTCGTTTTACTAATATAAATTTCATACAGATCGGATAATAACTTTTGTCGTTAGAGCATTTACAAGGTACAACAACGTGAAACAAGTGCCATGACTCACAGCGTAATTAACGGAAATTGCTGAAATTCAATAGGATTCTTCGTTTCACTAATTGCGTCTAATTAACTATTGTTTAGTTTCTCGACACGTGTTGAATTATAAGCGTCCCGTCTAATTAGCACGACTGTTCAATAATTAATAATGCTTTCTATAGATCCCATATTATGTAATATATGATTGGTGCAATATCCATGCTGTTAGTCTTAATTGCGAAGACATTTAAACAAAAGGATTTAATAAGGGTAGGGAGTCGACGTGTACACAAGTAAATCAGATGCGTGAGATTTATCATTCATGGATGGGTTGTCAGTGTGGGAAATACTGTTTTAAATGGATATATAAATACACGTTTTATGATTGTGGACGAAACGGTATGTGCATCTCAAGAAAGCTTTGCTTCGGAACCTTCCCGTCGTTATTAAAAATCCAACATCTGTTTCACCGTAGTGATTTTGAAAAATAATCCCTGGATAATGACAGGCATTACAGATACCTGCCGTCGTATGATTCCTGAAAAATAATATTTCACCATATCGCAACAGGTCAGTACTAAAACTAACACTAATTACAGTTTTTTAACATTGTGCTGCAAAACTGAACGATGACCAACAACCAAACACATCGTATTATCTGAACATCGCACGTGAAATTAGATGTTTGACAACAAAATTTAACACCTTGCGTAATTGGACACCTTGAAATTCGATAGAAGTACAAATTGAGCACTATTCGCCGAAATTCAACAATATTTATGAATAATTGGACACAGAGTAGAAATTAGCGCTATTTACGCAAGATTAAACGGTAACAATTAAAGCAGTCTGGACTTAAATGCCAGTGCCTGAGCAAAGTTCCACCATAGAAAAGATAACCTATGGGGTTGTCCCAAAATGACCGAGGTAATGTGTCGATGAAACGTTTAACTCAAGTCTATTTTATTTTTTAAAATTTAAAGGGGCATTAGGTTTTTTAAATCGGATAAAAATTATGACATCTTAGGGTCCACAAGCTAAAAACGCAATTTTTCGTACAATCAGGGGCCATTATTCAGGAAGTTACAATCTGATATGCGCAAATATGGAAACGAACCAAGATCTTTGGGTTATAAACTTACATTTCAAGTTTCATCAAAATAGGATTAAAATTGTGACCTCTATAGGGTCCACAACCTAAAAACGTGATTTTTCGTACAAACAAAGGCCATAATCCATGAAGTTTCGATCCGATACATGCCAATATCGAAAGCAACCAAGATCTTTTGGAGATAAACCTATATTTCAAGTGTCGTCAAAATCGGATAAGAATTGTGACCTGTAGAGTGTCCACAAACAAATTGTAGATGGACGGAGGGACAGGGGCGACGACAATATACGTCCATTTAACCCCTTTAGTCTTTGTCCGGTATATAGATGATATCTTTCTTATCTGGACACTTGGAAACTCCAAATTATTAGATTTCCTCCAACTGATGAACACCTTCCACAAAACTATTTAGTTCACAGCCGAATACTCTACTCATAAAGTGCCGTTTCTAGACACTATGATAAGCTTTAACCCTGTAACCAAGAAACTCTCATTTAACCTTTACTGTAAACCTACAGACACACACTCTTACCTTTCCTACACCTCATCCCACCCGCCACATATGTAGGCGAAACTAAAAGACTGTTCCGCATTAGGCTGAAGGAACACTATGCGTGATATTACCCACAAGAGAGACACCCCAGTCACCTCCCACTTCCATTTACCGAGACATTCCAGTCGAAACCTTGACTATCAAATAATTAAACAACTTGGCACAGACCCTGAGCTATATACTTCTACTACCAATAGACGCACAATCGAATTACATTGGATTATAAGATTAAAAACCTTTCAACCTCACAGTATCAACGACAAAATCTGAACTTGGGCACCCCCCCTTTATTTTCTTTGTAATATTTTACCTTTATTATAAGCTAACCTTTGATGTTATGTATTCCATGACGTCATCATTCCAGTCATTTTGTATTTAGTTCATAACTGAAGAAGTTAATATTTTTAGTGACGAAATGTTGGATAAATTGATGGGTTTTTTTTATACTGTATTCTATTAATTACTGTATATCAACTTATCTGAATATCAAATGCATCATTTTGACTTAGTCAAAATTTATCCAATCAAAGCATCTGTAATTGGTTTGTGTTACCTGTTTCTATTGATTGGAAGTTTCACATGAAACTGTGGGCATATAAAAAACAAAGTAGTGACCTATGTGTACTTAGAAAAACTTAGATAAATCAACTTGAGGAAACATATTAAAATAGTCATTAAAAAAAAAATAGCGGCTGCCAGGCAAGATACGCCCACATTTTGCAAGAGATGCATAGAGAAGCTACGATCCGATATGCGCGAATTTCTAAAGGAACAAAGATCTTTGGGTTATAAACATGTATTTCAAGTTTCATCAAATCGAATCAAAACTATGATCTGTAGAGGGTTCACAACTTGATATACCATATTTTTACACTATTTGCATACCAGGGGTGGCCATTTTGTCCGGCAGTTTTGCTCCGAAATTCAAACTCAAGCATCATTACAATGTAACAGTGATATATTAGAACTATTTTTTAAAACGGATAATAATTGTGACCTCTAGAGGGACCACAAGCTAAAAACATAATTTTTCATACAATCAGGGGCCATAATTTGGTCATTTTTTTTATCAAGTCGTCATGACCGTGCATATACAGTGATGTAAAACCCAGTGTCCTTCAGTTCTGTCTACAGGTATCTTTCCTACCACCATCATAATTACAATAATGAAATGATGTTATAAAATGTCAAAGAATGTTTCATCTTGTTGGAAGACAATGCCATACAATTATAGCTTCAGGGCGTTGCCATGTCTAACCAATGGTAACTTCGCAATTAATTAGGGTTTCACAATGCGTAGCTTGTGTGAAACACTATTGTTTTTGTTCGGATTATTATTCTTATTATTAATATTATTTTTTTTTCCACTTGAGCATATCTCAGAAACTACTTGTCGGATCAATTCGATGTCTTCGGTTTTCCTGGGAAAGTGGGTTTGATTTAAATTTTAAAGCTATTTCCAACGTTCTGCGACAATGCGAAATGTCCAAAATCGCTGAAGTTGCCGTTTTTTTAAATATTGCCGTAATATTAACAATAATCATTGGATTTTAATATTTGATACATTTTGACATGGCCACAGACAAGGCAGATAGCTACGGTTCCTTAGATTTTTGACGAATCTTCGGAGATATTAGGCGCCAAATTTTGACAAAAAACTTTTTTTATTAATGAATATTTTTTATGGCATTTTACCCAGGGTTAAAGGTCTGATTTGAGCAAAGATAGGTTGCCAGGCAACGAAACATACGCCCACAGCAGCTAAATCGTCCGGGCAGTCAACATACTTGTTCACCTCAAGATCTTAAACTCTGTATCAATCTGAAGTCAATCGGATATTAACTTTGGCCTCTAGAGCGTCCACAAGATTTTTCAAAGTGATCAAGGGCCATAACTTTGGCAGTAATTATCAGAAATCTTTGAAAATCAATAGGATTCTTCGCCTCGTGACCTCAAACACTGTGTATAAATTTATAGTCAATGAGATTAACTTTAGCCTTTAGAGCATCCACAAGGTTTTTTGAAGTGATCAAGGGCCATAACTTTGGCAGTAATTATCAGAAATCTTTGAAAATCAATAGGATTCTTCGCCTCGTGACCTCAAACACTGTGTATAAATTTAAAGTCAATGAGATTAACTTTAGCCTTTAGAGCATCCACAAGGTTTTTTGAAGTGATCAAGGGCCATAACTCTGGCAGTAATTATCGAAAATCACTGAAAATGAATAGACTTCTTCGTCTCATGACCTTAAACACTGTGTATAAATTTAAAGTCAATCAGATATTAACTTTGGTCTCAAGAGCGTCCACAAGATAAAGTGATAAAGGGCCATAACTCTGGCAGTAATTGTCGGAAACTGCTGAAAATCAATAGGGAATCCCCGTCTCATGACCTTAAACACTGTGTATGAATTTAAAGTCAATCGGATATTAACTTTGACCTCTACAGCGTCCATAAGATTTTTTGAAGTGATCAAGGTCCATAACTCTGGCAGTAATTATCGGAAATCGCTGAAAATCAATAGGCTTCTTCATCTCATGACCTTAAACATGTATCGCAAATTGCGCTGCGATACTGGTTGTCGGCAGCCCTGACTGGAAGTGATATGAGTTCAAGGGTAACGTGGCACCGAAAGTGACATACGTTCAAGGGTAACGTGGCACCAGTGAAACCAGTCATTACTGCATCGCAGTTCTAGCTTTATATTATTTTTCAAACTCTGCTCCACATAAATTTGGTATGATCTTTAAATAGACATCTGAAGCTGCAATCCAAGTCATAGTTTTGGCACATATCTCTTGTAATTTTAAAGATATTAATTTTGAAATCAGCTTAAAAATGATCAATTTTCATCATAAATCTAAAAAGTTCTCAGTCTTGCCTGATCCGAATTAAATGATTTTTGGCATGTAAATAGCTAAGCTAATGCTTAATAAAATTACGGGAGTGTTTTTTCATGGTGTCAATAATAATGCCAAATTTCCAGAAAATCAAACCAGCGGCTACCAGGCAGGATACGCCCACATTTTCGAGAGATGGATAGAGAACAAGCTAAAAAAGGGTCTTCAACCTTGATATACCATATTTTTTTGCTATTTGAGATCGAAGAGCGGCCATTTTGTCTGTCAGTTTTGGGCCGATTTTCATGAAATTCGAACTCAGTCGTTCTTAGGGTGTAACAGTGATATAATAATACGTTTTTTTAAATCGGATAAAATTATGACCTCTATAGGGTCCACAAGCTAAAAACGCTATGTTTCGTACAATTAGGGGCGATAATTAAGGAAGTCACGGTCCGATATACGCAAATATCGAAAGGAACCACGATTGTTGGGTTATAAACTTACAGTTCAAGTTTCAACAAAACCGGATAACCAGAGGCTGCCAGGCAGGATACGCCCACATTTTCGAGAGATGGATAGAGAACAAGCTAAAAAGAAAGTGATTATTCCTACAATCAAGGGCCATAATTCAGGAAATTACAATTCGATATGCGCAAATATCGAAAATAACCAAGATCTTTGGGTTATAAACTTACATCACAAGTTTCAACAAAATCGGATTAAAATTGTGACCTCCATAGGGTCCACAACCATGATATACCATATTTTTACGCTATTTGAGAACGAAGGGCGGCCATTTTCTTTGTTAATTTTGGGCCGATTTTCACGAAATTCAAACTCAGCCATCCTTAGGGTGTAACGGGGATACAATGATACGTTTTTTTTAATTGGATAAAAATTATGACCTCTATAGGGTCCACAAGCTAAAAACGCGATTTTTCGTACAATCAGGGGCCATAATTCAAGAAGTTACGGTCCGATATGCGCGAATATCGAAAGGAACCGAGATCTTGGAGTTATAAACTTACATTTCAAGTTTCAACAATCGGATAAAAATTATGACCTCTATAGGGTCCACAACCTTGATATACCATATTTTTACGCTATTTGAGAACGAACAGCGGTGTTTTTGTCTGTCAATTTTGGGCCGATTTTCACGAAATTGGATCTCGGCTGTCCTTAGGGTGTAACGGTGATATAATAATATGGTTTTTAAAATTGGATAAAAATTATGACCTCTATAGGGTCCACAAGCTAAAAACGCGATTTTTCGTACAATCAGGGGCCATAATTCAGGAAGTTACGGTCCGATATGCGCTAATAATGAAAGGAACCGAGATCTTTGGGTTATAAACTTACATTTCAAGTTTCAACAAAATCAGATAAAAATTGTGACCTCTATAGGGTCCATGCGAATCTTAGACATGGCAACGCCCTTAAAATGCACTAGACTATTTTGGGGTAATTATATGAAATAGGGAATAAAGTCCTACTGTTCTGCTCCGACTGGGTTAATGAAGCAGGGGTAAGTAAATGCTAAAAACTTACATAGCGTTTTTCCGGTGTATAACGTTTCTGTATGGAGAACAGTTTAACTCTTTCTATTTTACCATCTGTACTCATACTGTTAAAATAAAAAACAAGCCAACAGTAAGGCTGATGTCCCCCGCCGAAATCCCAAAATAAATAGATGATACATATTAATCGCACATTTATTTTTTTCAAAAGTATCGAGCAATCATACTGATTATCAACTAGACACTAAGTTTCATCACTCTCTATCAGATAGAATCAAAGTTATCTTGTCCCAAAGCAACGACAAAGGAAATTGCTTATCTCTGCTTAGCTTTAGCTCGATATGTTAATCATTGAACTCAGTCAAGACAACATCTTCATCAAGTTTAAACATTCTACCTCAATTAGAAGCAGAGTTATGTTCCAAAGTCTTGACTAATCAAAATGCTTTTCGCTCCTTAGCCTAATAAGAAAATTCTCATCATCGAACTTACCCAAGGTATTGATGTAATGAAACTATACACCAAGTTTCATCACTCTCACTTAATTAAAACTAAAGTTATCATGTCCCAAAGCATCAAGCAATCAAACTGCTTATCTCTGCTTACCCTATGCAGAAAATGCTCATCTTCTCATTCCATCAAGGCACTGACCTCATAAACACCTACACCAAGTTTGAACATTCTAGCTCAATTAGAATGAGAGTTATTGTGCTCCAAAGTCTTGGCCAATCAAATTGCTTATCGCTCTGCTTACCCTGAGCAGAAAATGCTCATTATCGAACTTAGTCAAGGTATTGATGTAATGAAACTACGCACCAAGTTTCATCACTCTCACTTAATTAGAACTAAAGTTATCATGTCCCAAAGCATCAACCAATCAAATTACTTATGTCTACTTACCCTAAGCAGAAAATGCCCATCTTCGAACTCCATCAAGGCATTGACCTAATAAATACCTACCCCAAGTTTGAACATTCTAGCTCAATTAGAAAGAGAGTTATTGTGTCCCAAAATGTGTGCCAGACCGACGGACGGACAGACAAACAGACAGACAGACGAACCCATTTTAATAGTCCCCTGCTTTCTTCGAAAGTCGGGGGACAAAAAGTTCAACCAATTATCTCTATACTTAATGTCAATAGAATCAAATAAATAGTACCCACAATAAATTCACATCTGAGTCATTCCGTTTCAAGTGGACCAAATTCTAAGAAAGTTGTCCGGTGACCCTCTCAGAATATTATGAAAAAAAAATGTCTTATAGTACATATACAAACTTATGTAAAATTGCAAAGTTATATGACTCTAGCATTAATATTGACAGAGCTATGGCCTTTTGAATTGGGGTACCCATTCACAAGTTTTAAAACTACTATTCCATGGCTCTATTTTGATGTACTGGTTTTATGTCTTCTAGTTAGACAATATTCTTAAATTTTGGGGATTTGAAAAAACTTTTTATGTAGATTAATAATCATCCATCAGATTTTCCGAACAAGTACTGTCTACTATGTATGCATGCATTAAGTGCCAAAAATCATTACTTGTGAGAAAAAAATCAATATTTCGAAAAAATGTAGGTATTTTACTACAGTATATTAGAGGTTGTAACGGTGATATACTGAAACGTTTTTTTAAATCAGATAAAAATTATGACCTCTATAGAGTTCACAAGCTAAAAACGCGATTTTTCGTTCAATCAGGGGTCATAATTAAGGAAGTTACGGTCCGTATGCGCACATTTCAAAAGGAACCGAGATCTTTGGGTTATAAACTTACATTGCAAGTTTAATCAAATTAGGATTAAAATTGTGACCTCTATAGGGTCCACAAGCTAAAAACATGATTTTTCGTACAATCAGGGGCCATAATCCATGAAGTTTCGATCCGATACATGGCAATATCTAAAGCAACCGAGATCTTTTGGAGATAAACCTATATTTCAAGTTTCGTCAAAATCAGATAAGAATTGTGACCTGTAGAGTGTCCATGAAATGTGGGCGTATAAAAAACATGTTTGCTTTAAGGGTTGATAATATAGGTTTTTTTTTTCAAAATCACTATAGATGTGTTGGGCAAAACAATGTAAAAGTTACTTTTGGACAATGGAACAAGTTATAAACTGTCTTTTGATAATGATATCTATATGTACGCATTGACGTCATTTCTAATGACAAGAAGGTTACAATAATGAACAGTCGCAGTAGGCATCAAATTGTGCATATGTCATGAAAATAGAACAATATTATATACTTTTGAAAAGTGACTCCCACAAAATTGCCTATTTCTCACAAATGGCAAAAATTCAGAATGATTCATGGGTTTTCGGTTGATCTTATATATCAACCCTACATTAAAGTTTAGAAAATATAAATATTATATAATAAGGGAGTTAAATAACATTTTCAGGAAAAAGGAATACGAAAATTGATTTCCGCCCTCCTCTACTTATTTACGAGGGCTATTCAGATATATATCAGCTAAATTGCGATGAAATAATATTTTGTATCAATAATTATTATAGCTAGTACCATCGTGTATACTATGCCGTTGATTCTGCGTCAATCGGATAATAATTATCGGATAATAATTATCTAGTTTATACGCTAAAAACTGTATCACCAAAGGGAGATAATTTAGATAAATAGATTTTAAATGTTTCTTTACAGCTGATCAGAATCTATGTACTTTGGAAAACTAATAAAGTGTTTATAAAAAAGTCCTTGATCTCAAGAACCGAGTGGCTTAATGATCAGTTACTGCAAAATAAGCAGCTGGAACCAGAACAGAACATAATATTATTCTGAGCAAAAAACATCGGTGTTTAACACAAGATTCAAAGTGTGAAATCTAATAAGTATTACTGCCCGAAACGGGCAAATTTTCGGTCACTAAATATTTCTAACCGAATGTACCAGAATTGTAGATTTCTGTCTACCCTTTACTTGAAATGCAAGTGTCCCATTACGCAGACGCACTCTGCAATGTTTTTATTTTGAGAAAGAAACAACGTCAAAATATGTGAAATTTACAAGAGAATAGTGAGGCTTTAAGACTCGACGAAGAGAACAACAAGATGACAATTTCAAGTATGTCACCAAGTTTTGGCGGTTTAAATTAAAAACTGAAGAAATGGCAAAAGAATTTTAGAATCGGAGTATCTTTTGAAACAGACAGTAAGTTGAAAATCTTGTGGAATGTAGTACCACAGAGGGAGATAAGGCAGTCTGAGGAGATATTTTTGAAAAAAATAGATTTTTTTTCTATGTCCAATATCTTGTGGAACTCTTGTGGTAAAAAACACAAGAACACTCTATCAAATTTATTTTATGTCAAAAATGTGGAGTGTGGTACCACACAAAGAGATAAGGGGGTCTGAGAAAATAGGCCATATTTGAGAAAAATTTGTTAACAAGTGGTTGCCATGCAAAATATGCCCACATTTTGCAAGAGATATAAACATATATTTTAAGTTTCATCAAAATCAGATAAAAATTGTGACATCTACAGGTATCACAACATCTTGTCAGGCAGTTTCGGTTCGATTTTCATGAAATTCGAACTCAACAATCATTAGAGTGCAACGGTGATATATTTGAACGGTTTTGAAATCGGATAAAAATGTGACTTTTCGTACAATCAAGGGCCATAATCCACGAAGCTAGGGTCCAATATGCATAAACATAGAAAGGAACCAAGATCTTTTGGTTATAAATATACATTTCAAGTTTCGTCAAAATCAGATAAAAATTGTGACCTCTGGAATGGCCACAAGCTAAACACAAGGGGCCATAATCCATAAAGTTACGGTACGATACATGCCATTATCCAAAGGAGCCAAGATCTTTGGGATATAAACCTTTCAAATTTCGTCAAAATTGGATTTAAATTATGAACTGTAGAGTGTCTACAAACAAAATGTGGACGGGTGGGTGGACGGACAGGGGCGACAACAATATACGTCCATATCAAAATGTAGGTGTATAAAAACTCTAGTCTCTTATCGTATACACAAGTCAATTGTTGACAGATGGAGGGACGGACCGAAAGAGAGGGTGATGAAATAATAAAAAGTTTTGTAGAGCTCTCCGTTCTCAGAAAAAGCATCACCTAATTATGTCCAACTATTAACTCACAAATTGGAAAACATGCTTTTTCCTGTGCAGGACCTTTCAAAGCAACAATTACCGTCAATGCGAAATGTCTGAAATCACCGAAGTTGTTTTTAAAAATATTGCAATCATTTTCACAATAATCATTGGATTTTAACTTTCCACACATTTTTGGCATTGCCAGAAACAGTGCACATAGCTATACTACTTTTGATTTTTGGTTTTCGGCAAATCGTTGTAGATATTAGGTGCCAAATATAGAAAATATAAACTTTTCCAAAAATCTTTTCTATTTATGAATATTTTTTTATGGTATTTTATAACAGGATTAAAGAGTCATCTGACTTGAGCAATTTGCGTTAGCTGCTATTGGCTTATTCAGTTTTTCGGTCCTAGATTAATTATTTATTGTTCGATTTGTATAAAAGGAAGTTCATATGCTCCAAAGTCGCAATTGTGATTCTTTTTGTTTCTGATAGAGTTTCATGTCGGCACCGGAAGTGGTGTTATTTTACCAAAAACTACAATTTTTACGTTTTATGAAGCGAGATCATTCAAAAAAGTGCAGAACTTTCAAAATCGGGTCAAATGTTGATCACAAGCGATTAAGCTGGTCAGTGGGAGCTTATTTTTAAAGTTTTGTGAAAATCAGGGTTGCAATTTCTAATGCAACACCATGTCACTGCTACTGAACAAAACCATTTCCGAAGTTCTACCTTGAACAGAAGAGGTCGAATGGTTGAAAACCGGAAGTTGGTCAGAGTTTCAGAAGTTCTTTAGCTATCCCCTAAAAAAATTACATTTTTGGATAGCTTGCCTCAGGGTCTAAAATTTGAAAATTTTGTTGCTGTCTATTTTAGTACAAAAATTTGATCTCAAGTCAATTTTGTTTAATTATTCGAATTTTTCAAATTTGACCTACATTTCCAGCAATATTAGTTTCATTAGAGTTATTGCCCTTTATGTTTCGAATTTTTCGAAGTTTCTGCCTATTT